CTGGAAAAGTGAGTCGGCAACCTAAACCTCTTCTCCAAGTTTCACGAGTCAAATTCCCCACTAAGCCTGAACTAACCGCTGTGTCTTCCCCTCACTTTACAGTTCCTGTTGAGCAGTGTTCAGAGCAACACTTCTACCCCTGTTTACTTCTTCAATAAAACCTGTTAAACCTTTTCCCTGGTCTCTCTGTTGGGTTTTCTGCATTTTTGGGTCAGAACTTTGTAACATCATGACAAAAAAATACCACTAATTGGTCTCTAATTTGTCTAAAAACATACTGATGGTCCACATTCTGTGTATTGGAAGGGAAAAACTGTAACATAAAGAAATAATGAATCCCTTTGACATCTGACTTAAAACTGACAGCATCTCAGAAAAGGAACAATCTCGTAGATTATCCAGCCATCAGGTCCTGACCCGGATTATGAAGCAGGACAACGATCCAATGCACATTACAAAATCCAACTCTGAATGGCTGAAAAAACAAGTTTTAGGATGGTTGTGGAAAAGTATGAGCTTAAAATCATAAAAAAATAGGTTCCTGTTATCACCAACTCTTAAAAGCCATTTTTACTACCAGGAGAACACAAGCAGTTCTTAGTGGTGTAATAAGAACACCTCTTTATCACGACTCGTGTTATCTTTGTCCTTACATCTTTTGACAAGCTGAGACAATAGGAAGGGGAAAAAAGAAAAGAAATATGGAAACAGTATTTCTCAGCTTGTAGAGAGGGGAAGTGTAAACCTCCAAGACGTGGGAGAGATTTAAGAACAAAGAAAATAAGCTGAGTGGCTGAGATAAAATAAAAGATACAGCAGAGAAAAAGAAACTAAAAACTGTGGCAGACAAAATCGGGAATTATCGTCCAATAAAAGCAGAAAGCAGTAAGACTAAAGGATGACAGAGGAAACAGGGGCTCCTTAGTGGCTCCGGGTTGAGATGGCTCACCCAAATATTTGAGGGAGCGTGTCAGCAGCACACATGATTACTCAGAGCTACAAAAATGGCTCAGTTACTGGAAACAGTTCGTCTATTTTTGAAGCGGCAAACTAGCTCTGTTAAACCAAGCATCCATTTGGTTTATTTAATCACTACAAAATCTGTTAATGCTGTTTTTTTTCCTTTTGGTTAAATCACCGTCTCCCTCATTCTCTTTGTTTAACGCTCCACATTTAATTGTTTATAAGCCGGAAACACTCTCAGTAGAACTCAATCCAATTAAAGGAGAACAGATGCAGAGGTGGAATCAGTCTGGCTGTTTCGTTTCATTAGACGTCTTGTTTTAGCAAACGAGTCCTACTCTGAACCCGAGTGCCTAATGAAATCTCTACAACAGTCTGCCATTCCTTATTTGCAACCCTTGATATATGTACACCCATTTTCCAACAATCTTCAGCTTCCAGTTTATACCCATCGCACTCATGAAAAGATGAACCAACAGCGGACAGTTGGCTGCAAACGTAGTTGGAGTTGGGACAAGCGAACAGATGCTCGGGGAAAGTCCCAAGAGGAACTTTATTCTGGGAGAACAGATTGGGGAACAGGTGAAAAAAAAAAAGCTTTGATTTAGATCTTGACCATCATGCCAGAGATTTATAAGCACTTTCCAATCAGTCTTGGAAGATAAGACATCATTAATATTCTTATGGTAACCTCAGTGTTCGCTAAGATTTATGGCCCCACAGCAATATAAGGTTGCATTGAAAGAGAAATGCTTAGTTTAATAAAAAGTAAATTGAAAAGGAATCCTGTTCTCATATGCTGGTGAAGATTCTCAGTCATCCAGGTCATAGTCATAGTTCCAAAAAAATAAAATTAAAAACAATCCACTGGACTTTGTTTCCAAGTTTGAAGATGTTTCGCTTCCCATCCAAGAAGCTTTTTCAATTCAAAATGAGGTTTTATACAGTAGCCCATCAAAGCCTCGTTTTTGCTTTGAAAACATGCAAATTATAATGGACGAAGGAGTTCACCCCTTTGGAATGGGGGTCGTTTGGCTTCTTTTGTTAGCCTGCAATGCCCCATACCTGTCTAAGTGTCTGACGGGGGGTCGTTAAAGGGAATTGTTGGCCTGGCTTAATAGGCGAGGTCTTCTGTTCCCCTGTAAATGGGGGGAAGTTGCGATGATAGCAGGAAGGAATGTAGGTTTTTGAAAGCTGAAATCTGAGTCCCCCCCATTTTGTTTAAGGTTGTTTTTTTCTTTCTTAACATGGCTTACTTTACACCCCTTCATTATAACTGGCTGTCACTACCCGATCTGTCCCGGAAGCACGATCCATCCTGTGCATGTAGGAACAGAATGATATGATCTGGATCACCGAAAAACTGTGTAATAATAACGGTACTGAAAATACTTATTTATATACTTAAAACATTAAAGAATGCTAAACTACACTGTAAAGAAAATATTGAAGACATTTCTGGAAGAAATCGATACGTTTTACATTCTCTCCATTGTCTTGCGTGTCGTCATCATCGGACATGCTCATAGCAGACATAGTAACGTCCTAAAGGCTATTTAAGTGTATAGCTTTTTTTTTCATTTTTATAATATGCTGTATTTATGTAAATACAAAAATCTTCAAAAGTTTGGAATTGAAAGAATAAGGAGCTAATTTTTATTTCGCACAAAAACATGCTAGCAGCAGTAACTGCGGAGGACAAATGTCCCAAATTCACACATTTGGACATTTATTTCTCCTATTAAAGCTGCTGAACAAATGCAAGCTTAAGAAAACTATAATGTGTTAAAGGTTAAAAATGTATTAGAATGTATGAGAAAATAAAAGCCTTAAAATCCTTTGGCTAACTTTTTCAGCTTTGGATTTAAAACATAAATCTGGTCTTTTTGAGTTTGATGTTTTCCTTTCATTTTAACCTTATGGTATATAATGTGTATATAAAAAAAGAAACAACAAAAAAAGACAGTTTTATCATATTTTCTTTTCCAGACTACTCTGAAAAGTAGACTTTTCTATGGGAGAATTATCCTGCCATAATGCAAGAGCACATCATTTCAATTTGAGAAAATTTCATCTTCTTGCACTCAAAACTTATAATGCTCACACTCAAAACATGCGCTCTCTCTCAAATATTTTCTCTTCTCTCTCAAAACTTTGTTTCTTCTCTCAGATTTAATGCTTCTTGCACAGATATTTTCTCCTCTCGCTTGCCTCCTTCTCTTCGCGCACAAACCGCGCACTGCTCGAGTCTCAGATACGCTCGCAAACCCGTAGGCTCTGCTTGCAGATTTTTTTTGCTCTCTCAGATTGGATCGGATCGTCGCCTAGCAACCTTTCCAGCCAATAGAACGACAGACTCAGAAAGGGTGCGCTTGTCTAACTCTACTGAGTGTGCCTGTGATAAACCTTACCGACAATAAAATGGCTTTTTAATTTAAAAGCTATTAAAATAAGAAGCATTTTCCATTTTCAGACGTGACGTGATGTGAACAGAAAACTCCCGCCTCAGAGTTGCTCGTCAGAAAAAAAAAATTATAATAATTTTGCTAGTCAGGGCAGGTGCTAATTCTGCCTCCAGCATAAATTAAATGACTTTTCATTGGCGATTCTTGAATCGCCCTTTATTATTTCCTTTTTTTATTTTCCTGATTGTTGTTGTTTTTCAGCTTCTTATTTTAATAGCTTTTAAATTAAAAAGCCATTTTATTGTCGGTAAGATTTATCACAGGCACACTCAGTAGAGTTAGACAAGCGCACCCTTTCTGAGGCTGTCGTTCTATTGGCTGGAAAGGTTGCTAGGCGACTATCCGATCCAATCTGAGAGACAGCAAAAAAAAATCCGCAAGCAGAGCCTACGGGTTTGCGAGCGTATCTGAGACTCGAGCAGAGCGTGGTTTGTGCGAGAAGAGAAGGAGGCAAGCGAGAGGAGAAAATATCTGTGGAAGAAGCATTAAATCTGAGAGAAGAAACAAAGATTTGAGAGAGAAGAGAAAATATTTGAGAGAGAGTGCATGTTTTGAGTGTGAGCATTATAAGTTTTGAGTGCAAGAAGATGAAATTCTTTTCTCAAATTGAAATGATGTGCTCTTGCATTATGGCAGGATAATTCTCCCATATTTTTCTCAGAAAAGTCATACAAATGTTTTAAAGATGTGCATTAGAATTAGTTGGTGATTTAAGGCAAAAATAAGTACCATTAGTACCATAATTACATTATTTATGGTGATCTGGATGAATATGTGCTTGCACATGGGCAAATGAGCTGATGGTACGGATTGTGCTTCCGGTATGGATTCTTCTTCTTTTTTTGTCCCTACTCCAGGGGCCATAGGTAGAGCTCCCCCTACAGGTTTGGTCGGAGACAGTTCAGTAGATATCAGCAGCCTATAGCCCGGTTTGGCTTATATATGTAAGTTTCCATGTTGCTTAATGAATGAAATGAACGGTGCAGTGGGTAGCACTGCTTACTTTCAGCAAGGAGGTTGCAGGTTTGATTCCCGGTCCGGGGTCTTTCTGCATGGAGTTTGCATGTTCTCCCTGAGCATGCATGGGTTTTCTCCGGGTACTCTGGCTTCCTCCCACAGTCCAAAAAAATGACTGTTAGGTTAATTGGCTTCTTTAAATTCTCCTTAGGTGTGAGTGTGTGTTTGAATGGTTGTTTGTCCTGTTTGTCTCTGTGTTCCCCTGGCGACCTGTCCAAGATGGACCCCGCCTCTCGCCCGTAGACAGAGCTCACTTGGGATTAACCGTGTCAGAAAATGGATAAATGAAATAATATCCGAAGAGCACTTGATGATCTGGATGCTCCCTGCCAGTAGATAAAATCTAAAGGTTGGTTCCCTGGAAATGACTTATTGTCACCAAGTTAGCTCTACTCAAACTGATTAAGTTAGTTAAGTTGTAAAAAATAAGGTGTATAACTTGTTCTATTAACTCAAACATTTTTGTACAATGTATTGCATTTGTTATAATTTTGCAATGTAGAGAATGAAAACAAAAAGTAGAAAATGATGCAAAAGGAGGAGTATTTCTCTTACTGTGGGGTCCTTTCCTGCCATTTGGCACTCTTCTATCTTGCTTGTAGATGCAGGCCAAAACAGCTGTAGACCAAAAAAAAAAAAAAAAGAAATATGCATTACGTTTGTTTGTGATATAAAGATACAATAGATGGCTTTCAAATATGCTTTTTCATGGCTCAGAGGAAATAATTATTTTCATCTGTGGAAAATGTGTCTAGAACCCACGAAGGGGGTTTAAAGGTCTAGAAAAAATGAATATATGTCATGCAATTTACTGGGGGAAAGAAGTGGATGCAGTGTGGGGCTCCCAGGGGAAAACTAAATGCTTTCCCATCTGTTTATCCACTTCACGCCTGTCAATTAAATGAATGATAATTCCTTCACTGCGTTCAGAAATAGTTAATGCTTTTCCCAAATAAACCTAAAATTGCAGTGATTATGAGAAATGTAGGGTTACTTGCATGTAAGTGCACAATTATCATGCTCTATGAAGCTATTATAGGATAATTTGTTTTTTGTTTCATTATTTTTATTTTGGGTTATAAGCAAGATGGGACTAAAGAAGCCAAAACTACATAAGAAGAAGGTGTTTTCTGAACTCAAACCATATGCTGACCTTAAGCGTGCCATGAGTGATGTTGTTAAGGTCCATGGAGAGAATGTGGTTCTTACACCCCACATACATCCGATCCTGGTCCTCATCCATGAGCAGGATCCTGTAGTCCATAGGCTTATCAGATAGGCTGAAGTGTTCAAATGACTGTGAGGCCATTAGGTCTGCGAAGAACATTAAGAAGAAAATGCAAAGCAAGAGGTTATATAAGTTGTTTCCACGCTGATAGAGGACATTTTTTCTCCACGTTTAGGCAAAAAAATTCTAATAAAAGATAGAAACAGAAAATCTGAAAAGAAAACTTAATGTAGATCTTAGGATTTGGCAGCCGCTCTTTAAACACGCCTCAGACAGGAGAAGCTACAGCTGCCACCAGATATTGACTTGGAGCAAAGACAAGATGTAACTAAAGCACCAACTTAATCTGCTATGTAGAACCAGAAAGCCAGTAAAGATATAAAAGAAAGCTTTTCTGTTCCGTCAAGCTTGAGTAGCAACCTAATCTGTTGCGAATACAAGAGACGCATGAATTCTTGAAACAGACAAGGCTGTAGTCATGACCGCTTAAGGTGATCTCTAGATGAGATATAAATATATATGACTGGAGATAAAGTCAAGACCAAACCCAAACAAGTTCAAAGCCAAGTCAAATTTGAGCAGAAAGCAACAAAACGGCAGCTTCATTATTCCTTAAGCTGCTGCTGAGAGTGAAAACTTCTCATGTCTTTAGAGTTTAGGAGAGTTTCCAGTGTGAAAGAAAACCAAAAACTCTAAATAGGCAACAGAGAGGTTATATTTGAAACCTTGACATAATGACATGACTATCTCGTTAAACCATTAATTGTTTTCTCGAGAAAGCAAGATAACTATCTCAAAAACAGTTATTGATATCTTGGGATAATGAGATTATTAACCTACACTATATTGCCAAAAGTATTTGCTCACCCATCCAAATTATTGGAATCAGGTGTTCCAATCACTTCCATGGCCACAGGTGTATAAATTCAAGCACCTAGGCATGCAGACTGTTTTTACAAACATTTGTGAAAGAATGGGTCGCTCTCAGGAGCTCAGTGAATTCCAGCGTGGAACTGTGATAGGATGCCACCTGTGCAAAAAATCCAGTCGTGAAATTTCCTCGCTCCTAAATATTCCACAGTCAACTGTCAGCTGTATTATAAGAAAATGGAAGTGTTTGGGAACGACAGCAACTCAGCCACGAAGTGGTAGGCCACGTAAACTGACGGAGCGGGGTCAGCGGATGCTGAAGCGCATAGTGCGAAGAGGTCGCCAACTTTCTGCAGAGTCAATCACTACAGACCTCCAAACTTCATGTGGCCTTCAGATTAGCTCAAGAACAGTGCGCAGAGAGCTTCATGGAATGGGTTTCCATGGTCGAGCAGCTGCATCCAAGCCATACATCACCAAGTGCAATGCAAAGCGTCGGATGCGGTGGTGTAAAGCACGCCGCCACTGGACTCTAGAGCAGTGGAGACGCGTTCTCTGGAGTGACGAATCGCGCTTCTCCATCTGGCAATCTGATGGACGGGTCTGGGTTTGGCGGTTGCCAGGAGAACGGTACTTGTCTGACTGCATTGTGCCAAGTGTAAAGTTTGGTGGAGGGGGGATTATGGTGTGGGGTTGTTTTTCAGGAGCTGGGCTTGGCCCCTTAGTTCCAGTGAAAGGAACTCTGAATGCTTCAGCATACCAAGACATTTTGGACAATTCCATGCTCCCAACTTTGTGGAAACAGTTTGGAGCTGGCCCCTTCCTCTTCCAACATGACTGTGCACCAGTGCACAAAGCAAGGTCCATAAAGACATGGATGACAGAGTCTGGTGTGGATGAACTTGACTGGCCTGCACAGAGTCCTGACCTCAACCCGATAGAACACCTTTGGGATGAATTAGAGCGGAGACTGAGAGCCAGGCCTTCTCGTCCAACATCAGTGTGCGACCTCACAAATGCGCTTCTGGAAGAATGGTCAAAAATTCCCATAAACACACTCCTAAACCTTGTGGACAGCCTTCCCAGAAGAGTTGAAGCTGTTCTAGCTGCAAAGGGTGGACCAACGTCATATTGAACCCTATGGATTAGGAACGGGATGTCACTTAAGCTCATATGTGAGTCAAGGCAGGTGAGCAAATACTTTTGGCAATATAGTGTATATGAGTATTGATGAGGCTGGCCAACAGCCCTGGATTCCCAATCCATCCATGCCTGCAGTGCCCATAGTTGTGCATTCGCGGTACCGCTTGTGCACAAATAATCAGTTTTTTTGTTTCCTTTTTTCTTTTCACTCATTGTCAGGTGGATTATTGGATTGCATGAAATGCAGTAGAAACAAATCTGACTTTTTTAATTAAAATCCTTAATCTGGACTCATTTTGGGGGTTAATTCATCTTATACCTGTTCCAGACGTTAAACCGGGGCTGTTCAGAAAACAGGCTCCGGAGGCATAGGGCTAATTGCTTATGAATCAGAAGTGGAAGTAAATCATCAAACAAACAATATTGTCTCGTTACCTTTAAAGTTACACACAGGATTATTTACAGAATTACACATAGGCTACCATGACTTATACTTATAAATCCTATCCTGCTGTAGTGGTATTGAAGGATGTAATCAGTTTTAACACACATCAATCATCTCGTTATGACGAGAAAAAGGTTTTCTCATGAGAAAATTATCATCTCTTATCACAAGAAAACTGCTATCTTTAGATAATGTGAAAATATACTAATTTTCTCGAGAAAACCACCATGAAAATGTATCGCAGAGAAACGACTGCTCTCGGCCTCCGTACTTTTTAAAGCAAATACTAACTATTATTTTTTAATTCCAAGTGGACTTTAATTTACTCATCCATCGTTTCTTTTATGAATACTTCAGATTATTTCATGGGGGTTTGGAAGGAAAGCCAACATTTTTCTATTATTATATTATATCAGGTACATAGAAGGCCTGGGTTTACCCTGTGCTCTCATCCCAGTGAAAAACACCAGAAAAGCTTCCAATGGGAGGTGTCCAGATTTGATTCTGATTAGATACCTCAAGCTCATCTAAATTACAACATGTCCCAAAACCTTAACAAGTCGTTTGCTGCATCCACTTAGTCCTATCCCCCCCGTCCCCATTTATCTCAGCAGTCAGCATAAGATGAGTGGTTGCAGGTCTTTAACTTATTACAGAGGTAATTTATTTGAAGAGTTAACCCAACAACCTATTGCTTGCAGGCAAATCCTTATTCCATACAAACCTAAGACTGATCAAAAATAGATTTATATCAGCCAAGGGTGTAATTCGCATCTACTCTGACACCAACTATATAAAACAGCCCTCTCTGTGTTGCTCATACTCTGTGGCAATAGAATGTGGTTTGATGAATCGATTAGGCACCATCAACAAGCAAAAGGTCACCTAGAGTTGGTCTGATTAGATCAGGGGTCCTAATCTATCATAATTCACAAGCCTCAGCTGTCACCAATGAGCCTGTAATAGATTAAATGGAATAACGAAGAGAAAAATCAGATAGCAGCGTTAAATTAACATGAGACCATTGCAAATTGTATAGATCACTCCATAAAATTATTAATCTAATTTACAACTAAAAACAATGAACTGATGGATGATGGTTTAGTTATGTTAAAATGACATGGCGTGTTTATGAAATGGCAGCAGGAAGGGAAGAAGTGGCCAAGTGTGGGTAGAGACGGGGCAGATGTGTGAGGCAATGGCGCCGGACGCATTGTACTTTGCATCAACAGAAATAAAAAAGGGACCAAATTAAGGTTTCCTCCATCAACCCGTCATTTTTCTGTCAGGCTTACCCCAAGCTGGGTCGCGAGGGGTGCTGGTTCCTATCTTCAGCTGTCTATGGACGAGAGGCACAGTCCATCACAGGGTAACTCAGAGACAAACAACAATTCACACACACTCACACCTAAGGAGAATTTAGAGGAGCCAATTAACCTAACACTCATGTTTTTGACTGTGAGAGGAAGCCAGAGTACCCGGAGAGAACCTACGCATGCACAGGGAAACTATGCAAACTCCATGCAGAAAACCCCGGGCCAGGAATCAAACCCGAAACCTTTTTGCTGCTAGGCAGCAGTGCTACCCATTGCTCCACTGAGCAGCCCATGTAGGTTTAAGTATACCAAAATAAAAAAAGACGTTAAAAAACTCAATTTTAATAACAGCCAAACATTATTTAATCCCTCTTCATGTAATCAGGGCTGGTGATGCACCAGAAAAGCAAACCCTTACCTCCTCCATGAACATAAATGAGTAGATTTGTTTTCTTTCTAAGCAACACTGAACTGTTTGACATCTTCCTTAAAATTAAATCCCCAAATGCAGACATAAATTCCCATCTAGTGATGAATCAGAAATAACCAGATAGAAGAGGATCATTAGAGCTGCATCTCATTGCCGTCTGAAAATATTAATTGAGCTATTCACTAATAAACAAGGTTTGATCCATTAGAAAGAAATGATTGCATAGTGTGTAAAAAAAAAAAACGGGTTCCTCTTGGCTTTTCACCCACTCATGGTAAACAGTCCCAGACAGTTATTTCCAGCCCGTTTTCTCCACAGATAGCAAATTCCTACCCATGCCATCAAAGGCCTTACTATTGAAGCCAAACTCATGCATATTTATCACTTTTCCAATCTGCACTGAGAGGAGTGGCTGGGGGGGCGGCAAATAATGTACAGCTACACCCTCTGTTTCCTCTCCTGTATTGACCCTGTCTAAGCTCTCTTTGTATTCCCTCCTCTAATCAACACAACAGGTTTGCTTTGCTTTGCTGCAATCCCTTGGGCTAAAGTCACATTTTCATGATTGGGTGGCATATGCTTTTGAGGTTTCCTTTTATCTTTTATTAAAGTGGCTTTCTTCAAGCACCCCACACCCCCCACCCCTACTGCGGAGTGTTGTTTGGCGTGGTCGCAACGTAAGGCTTGAAGTGTTTAACTTTAAATAACTGCAAGTTAACCTCTTCAGGAAAAAGCAAGTTTCCCACAGCTATTCAGTCCCCTCTTCAGCTGTGTTTAGGTAAATTGCCTCATCTTGAGTTGAAAGCAGTGTTACTTTGAACACTGCCTCGTCCAGTATGTGCACATGGCCCAGTGCCTAGGATTGCATAAAGAAATCCTATT